TTAAAAAATTTGGTTTTATATAACAATAAAAAATATTTTAATCAATAACAAAATTTATCATTTCAATCAAATTATGTTATTGGTATAATAAATCAATAACGACATATTCATCAGTATTAACCGTTGGTAATGGTAAGTTAAACTTAATTTGCTCGATATATGGTTTGAGAGCTTCACAGTTTTCTGAGAGTTGGATTTCTTTTTGAAGAATAGCAAATAATTGTTTTAATGGAGCAGTGAATTGTTGATCAGTAATTAAGAGAGTGATGTGAGCGTCAAAGAAAGCCATTAACCAATTTAGAATTCGTTGTTGAGAAATTGGAGTATTTGATTCAAATTGTTGAATGAGATATTTTAATATATTCATTACTTCATTTGGATTTAATTGAGATAACATTTTAGGTGCAGTTTGTGCATTAATTTCCCTATCAAACACATGCAAAATAAAAGTATCCTTATTGTTAAATTCTATTTGGTTGAGATTCATTTTAACTGTTATACGGAGAAGTGAAAGAAGAGGTACTTCTGTAACAGTAACGTTATCTCTTTGGATAATGTAGTCAATATAATTTAAATTGTTTTCATGAATTAATAATAATAACAAATCAGTATAATCTCTTATAAGGTCATAAATAATTAATTTAAGAATAATGCTCCAATACACGTCAGTTGAACACTTTTTCTCTTGAATTCTTTTATGAACTTCATCCCACAAATTCCATCTTAAATTACCATTCATTTTGATAGCACTCTCAATTCTTTCAATAAAATCTTCATCACTTGGAACATCAAAATTAGGTAATACATCTCCATTTTCCTCATTTAAAACTTCATTTTGATATTCTCCACTTGAACTTCCAACAAAATTATTCACATCACATTCAATAGAAGTTTGTCCATTACTGATATGTTTTAAGCAATCAGACAATGTAGGTTTCATTGGTAAGTCAATAAATTCTAATAGATTATTAGAATATAAAATAATTTTATTGTTAATACCACAACATTGTGAAGTTTTATATGTTTTTAAAGCAGAATTATATTGACTAGAAATGAGCTCTGTTTGTTTAGAACCACTAACCAAAATAAAATCTTCATTTTCGCTTAAATCATAAAAATCTCCGATAAACTCATGGCCAATTGTCAAATCTTCATTTATTAAAATCAATTTTTTATCACAAATCACAAAAATTTTCTTTCTTCCTGACACAACTTGTTTGATTTCATTTTCATTAAAACTTATCTTTTTTATTTCCTTTCCTTCCATTGAATAAACAAATAATTCAAATTTTGTTGCTAAATAGATATTTGGTGATGAGTATAATAATGCTGTAACTTCTTCTTTTACTTTAAATAACTCAGTATATTCAACAACTTCTTTATTAAAATTGACAGTACCAATCTCATTTTGTTTAGATATCAAACAGGTGTTAAGATCGATAACAGCTATTTTAGTAACTGGAGAACCACTTTGATAAACTTTAGCTTTTGAATAATCAAAGGTAGGTTTAGTAAATTGAATTATTGTTTTACTTGATGTTAAAACATACAACGAAAATTCATTTTCTTGAGAAATACTTACTGCCTGAACAATAGTAATTCCAGGTGGAATCATAATAGTTTTAAGGCTTTGAGCAGTATTACTATCCCACAGTGTTACAGTAGTTGAATTGATACTTAAAAAACTATTTTTACCAATGACAAGGATTTGGTTAATATTCCCCACTTCAACACTTTGACTCATTTCTTTCCAATGAACTTTTTTTTTAAGTTTTTTTTTCTAAAACTATTTTTTATGATAATAATATTATTTTTCTTTTATCAATTTTAGGTTTTGTAAATACTTAATAAATACCAAAAAATAAATATATAAAACACAAATTCATTACCAATTTATTTGTTTGGCTCCTTCAACTTGTGAAAGTATTTTACATCCTCTAAAACAACCAACACCATACCTAATTGGAGTCGAATGAAGTGGGGCAGACACTTGGAATAGATTTACACAAGACCAAAATGCTCCGTTTCCAACTGAAGTAACTGATGAAGGAAATAAAACTCGTCTAATAGAACAACAACCCCAAAATGCAGCATCACCAATAACCTCTAAATGAGGTGGTAAAGAAAATGAAATAAGGGAAGTGCATTGAGATAATGAATTAACTCCAAGGGAAGACACATTTGAAGGGAATTGAATAGAAGTTAATGAATAACATTTCCATAAACAAGCATCAGGAATTGAAATAAGGGTTGAAGGGAATGAAATTACCTTTAAAGACTGACAATTTTCAAAACAATTTGACTTTAATTTCAATAAACGAGAAGGAAGATGAATAGAAGTAAGTCTCAAGCAATTCTTAAATCCAGAGTATTCAATTGATGTAACAGAATCAGGGATATTAATTGTAGATAATCTATCACAGTTATAAAAACATTTTTCTCCAATACAAGTAATTTCTTGTGGGATTTTACCTTTTGTCTTTTCACGATCACTTTTTGTATATTCAATATGTTTGAAATAATATTTATCTTTCTTCATTAAAAGATATTCGTTATAATTTACTTTGTAATGAATAATATAACAAGAAAGATTTGGAATAATTCTGTCGTCTCTAGAATAGATGTTTTGAGTAGTGATATAACGAAAAATTGGTGAAGAAATTGGATTTTCTTTAAACATATCAGTGAGACAAGAAAATGATTTTTTGACAAGTTGCAATCTAATAAAATCTTCTGTTGTCTTAAGGTATTGAGATATAGTCATTATTTCTTGTAGGGTAAAAGACAAGGAACTACTCATATATAAGGAAAGAAACACAATTCTACTTTTTTTACAGTTATTTTTTTAGTTATCCTTTTCTTCCAAATAAAAATAAAAAATTCTTTTTGTTGAATTATTTTTTTAAAAATATTTTGACGTATATACAAAACTGAGAAATATATTAATAGATTTTATAAAAGAAAGTAAGAGAATGAGGTACAGTCAATTTTTATTTATAATTTTAACTTTTAAATTGAATGACATTGAAAACATTTTTTTTAATTGAAAGATTTGAAACATAAATAATCATAATAAATCGTATTTTAAGTTACAATTGAGATGGAAAGTGATATTTTTTATATTCAGAAGATTTAACCCATTCAACAATTCTCATATTTCTTTGATAACTTCCAATTTTATTAATAGTTTCTAAATTTTTGTATGTGAGACGAAGAGATTGAGATGGTTTAGGTTGTTTGGTTTTTGGTTTACAAGTTTCTGAAGAACTATTTTTTTTGGTACAATGAAAAGTAGATTTATTTAACCTTACTAATTGAAACAGTTCTTCTGATAAAAATGAATATACCTCATTAGCTATTTGATTACTCTGCATACTTATAATTTTTGATATTTAAGTTCATCAAAAGAAGAGATTTAACTTCTATTGATTCTCCTAAATTTTTAAGTGAATTGTAAAGACACTTTAAAATACTTCAATTGAATTTCAACTCATTCTTGTATTTTTGTTTAAATTAGTTTTAATTATTTGGAGAACTTCGTGATTATTCGTCTCGTTATTTGTTGTAGTACTGTCTTAAAAAACGATATATTTTATTTTATAGTTATAGAAATGAATGAGTAAATGATTTTTTTATATTTTGTTGTCTTATTTAACCAGTAAAAGAAAATAAAGAATAAAAATTAGTTAATTAAGTGTTAATAGAATTTTCATCTATTCTTTCTTGGTCAGCAGAGACTAATCATATCCTGAGCTTGTTTTCAAAAAGAGTAATCTGTAAAAGATAATAAATAAAATATTTTATAATTAAAAATTTGTTTTAATAAATGTTGTCAAATTATAACAATATAGATAAATTCAATTATCAATTTTATTGATAATATGTTTTTTATCAAATAATACCATATCAACTTTTTAATAGGAAGATATTATTAATATAAAAGACATAATGACTCATCTTTTTTGCTAATTTATTTCAAAAGAGAAGAAAAACAAAAAAAAGACAACTGATATTTATAACAGATAAATGGAACATCATCCATTAGACTCTTTTAAGTATTGCCCCAAATGTGGAAACAACCAATTTTTGGTTGAAACATTTAAATCTAAGAAATGTTCATTGTGTGGATTTCATTACTTCTATAATCCAGCAGCTGCTGTTGGTGTATTTGTTCTTAATGAACGCGGTGAATTACTTGTAGGAAAACGGACATTTGAACCAGCAAAAAATACTTTAGATTTACCAGGAGGATTTGTTGATTTTGGGGAAAATGCAGAAACTGCTGCAATAAGAGAAATTGAAGAAGAAACAGGACTTCAGTTAGAAGTAAAACAATTAGAATATCTCTTTAGTTTACCAAATGAATATATTTTCAGTGGCTTCAAAGTTTCAACAATGGATATATTTTTTAAATGTATAGTCTCCAATGGTTTAGTTAAAGGAAAAGATGATATTTCTGAGTTAAAGTGGGTTGACATTAAGTCACTTGACCCTTCATTATTTGGACTGCAAAGTATATCTCAAGCAGTTGAAATGTTTATGAAATCTTTTCAATGACGATATTTATACTCTAATTCACTTATTTTTTACTAAGATAATTTATTTTTTAAAGTAATATTTTTATAAGCTTATCCAAAAATATTTAAATTCCCGCTTTTTTTCATTATTTTAGTCCATTTACAAAAATGAAAAAAATAACCAATCAAATTCAAAACCCTTAATGCTATAAATAGTGTAACTAAAAACTCGAGATTGTTATGTGTGCATCTGTCAATAATACTTCGTTGGAGATAACTCAACCTCAACAACCAAGAAATTTTCAGTGGAACTTATTACCTTCGAGTTACGTTTCAAGTTATTCTAAACAACAAACTTACACTGGCTTTCCTAACGATATAATTCAATGGTCAGCAAGTGATGCAGAAAAGAAATACATTTTTGTAAATGACAAACAATATAACCGAATAATGAAGAGAAGAAGTGAACGACGTGCATTAGAATTTCGGAGTATTTCTTCATCACACAAACAGAAAGTTTGTCTTTTTCTATCGGTTTGAATATTCCACCAATAGGAGTATTATGACCCAATATACAAATTTAATGATTAATAACAAAAATATTAAAGTTAATAAATAGTTTAAATATGAGTCTAGGCATCTTCACGCAATGAACAGACAAAGGGGAGAAGGTGGAAGGTTTTGTAGTAAAAAGAAAATTGAACAGTCTCAAGTTTCCAACACTACTTCTCCTCAACAAGTAATTGAAACTACTTTAATTGGTTCAGACAATCTTGTTATTTCTCCTATTGAGCCTATACAATCAGTTCAATTAAATTCAGGTATTACACAAACACCAACCATTTCATATGAAACTAATAATATTCCAGTACAATTAAAAGATCTCAACACTCATCCTTAATCATTCAACCATGTAATTGAATCTTCTTTGTTTTATACTTCTTTTTCATATTAAAAATAAAATAAGAACAGGGTAAAAAATTAATTTAATTCTTTTTGTTGTTTCTTTTTTAAATCATCTAACTTACTATGCAATTCTCGATTTTCTTTCATTGCTATTTTAAATTCTTTTAATAAAATATCTAAATCTTCATCAGTTAAATCTTCAGGTTTCATTTCAATTAATTTTGGAATTATTTTATTCTTATCAAAATGAATAGGAATTTCTGAATAATAATCAGATAGACTTAAAGGATTTTGTGCTTTTCTTTTAGCCTTAGAAAATAACATATTATAATCTTCTTTTGGCAGAAGAACTTTTTCTTGTCCTAATGTTAATAAAAATAAAACTGCACGATCATATTTTTCTACAATGTCAATAATCCAATCCGTAGAATTCATATGGAATAATTTTATAAAACAAATATTTGTTGGAATAAATTGAATATTTTCTTTTAGTAAAATATAAGCAAGTGTTTTTGTTACAACTTCATTATCACTCAGTTTTATTAATTGTTTCACAATATTTTCAATTACACAATATGCATCTCTTAGAATTTTTGCTTTTTCTATAGGTGATCGTTTCATATTAACATTTCTAATTAATGCTCCACATTCTTTTAATATACTTTGTTCATCTTTTTTCAAAAAACCTAGCCCAATATTTTCTACTTGAATAAATTGTCTCATTAAAATAAAATCTTCTAACTTTTTATCTTTTTCACGACATTCAATAGGAGTTTCTTCTTTTGGATTGTCTTCATAACTTGGAGGCCAAAGAGATTCGAATAATGAACAAGTAAAAATTGTTTCAATACAATTAATTATGTTTTGTTCATAAGTTTTAAAATCAGCTTTCCATAATTCATGTTTTTGTATTTTGCCTCTTGCTCCATTGATTAATTGTTTAAGAAATACTGCCTTTTCATTTAGTTTTAATGTAGAAGATATATTTGAAAATTGTTTGAATGCCGTTTCAAATGAATTTCTGATTGCTAATGATTTTTGATTAGAAAGTCGTTCTAAAAATAAGTTTCCACTATGTTCTTCTGGTTCAGTTGGAGGAATAAACCATTTTGGTTCGACAGTGTTAATTTCTATTTCAGTTTTAGAGATACTATCAAATGTACGTGGTTTTATACTTGGACATTCCATCCATAAAAATCCAGGTTGAAGACCATCACCTACCCACCCCCAAGAACAACCATCGAAAATTAAAGGTGTTTCTATAAAAAGGATTGGCATTTCTCCAAAGGGAGATTGTAATGAATCATTTGCAATTAATGAAATTTCTTTTGACCTTCGTAACAAGATTTCATTACTTTCTAAATTATCATAAAAATGTTTTGGGAAAGCATAAAAAATATCTGGCATTGTCTTCCATGGATTTAATGGTTTTTGATTCGCATATAATGCAATAGTGCCATCAGTAATTTTTCCATATAAACCATTTAATGTAACAAAATTATTATCATTTGGATTTTTTTTTATCATATGAGTTAAAAGAAATTCTGGGGTTAGTGTCAAAGTTCGATGTGGAATAACTAAAGTAAATTCATGCTCTAAACAAGTAACAACAGACTGTAATCCTATTTTATTACTTAGTAATTTTTTTATTTCCAATGATGAATTAACTTCTTTTGAATTAATAATTTTGTCAATAGCTACATAAGGCATACAATATTGCTTAGCAAATGATTCCATAAGTTTTTCAAATACATCTTCAAAAGGTACTTCTCCTGGAATATCTATTTCTACTGGTGGAGAGATAGATGAAGAAGGTAATTGATTTGTTGATTTTCTCCAACTTTGTGATGAAAAGTGTGATGATGAGCGTGATAACATAGTTTTTTAAGTTACTTTTAAGATTTATTTTTGTTGTTTTTTGTGTTTTTAATTAATAAAATTTATTCGTTATAAATAGCAAAAATAAATTAGAAAATAGTTATTTATATTTTCAAGAAAAACAAAATATAAAATTAAAATTAGTAATATTATTATTTTAAAAAAACACAAAGAGAAACTGAAAACAAAAATTGTTATTTTTAGGAATGGAGCAAGTGAGTCCGAGTATTTCTCTTAGGAATGGCGCAAAACAATGGAAAAAAAGACATCCAAGTAATTGTGAGTCATTACCCCAATTTATTAAGATATCAGGTAATGTTCCTGGATTACTTATTAGACCAGCAGATGGAAAGTTTGTGTTATATGAAGTTATTTAAAGTAAAAAGATATATTTATGTTTATAGGTCGAAGTGTACAATTCTTTATAGCCATGACTCTACTGAAAGACTAGAAACAATTCACCAATGGCTAGTTAATATGTCAATGATGCTTCATTCTAATATTATTGCGTATGAATTTCCTGGTTATATGGATGATAGCAGTGAATATTCTGATACTTTAGTTTCAGACATTATTACAAAAGTATTTAACTACATATTAGAAGAAATGAAACAACCTTCAAAGTCAATAGTCCTTTATGGGAAAGGAGCAGGTTGTGGACCAACGTTATTTCAAGCATTTGAAACTCGTAAAGAAAATGAAGTAGGTGGCGTTATATTAATTAATCCAGCGGTAAATGCATCAATTTTAACACGTTCTCCATTTCACAAAGCAAGTCATATAAAAGCTGTTACTTCACCCGTGGCTATTATCTTTGGTCAATTATTAACTGAAAAGAAATACATTAGAAAATTATATTCATTAATTCAAAATAAAGGTGGGCTTGGAGTTATTGAAGGTGGTGGAAATGACTTAGAAAAAACTCATAGCGATGAATTGACAGATGAAATTATTAACTTTTTGATTGAATTTATTCCTGAATTACAATGCTATTTCAATGGCGATGAATTAGAAAAACAACGCCCAGCTGAATATCAAACAAATTCTATTGATGAAATTAGTCAATTTCTTAAACAAAGAAATCTTCAACACCTCACAGAGCTCTTTATCTCTTATGGATATTGTAAAGTAGAACACTTTATGTCAATGTGTCCTGATGAAATAGACTTCCTTGGACTTGAAGAAAATGATAAAACAACATTTAAACAATTAATAGAAGATGCAAAGAATGACCCTCTCCTTCTTTATCCAAAACAATCCACTAAAACTAAACCAACTAGTATAGCCAGTGCAAGTAGAATTATTTGTACTAATGAGGCTTGGAAAGATTTAGACTATAAAAATAAAAGAAAAAGTATGAAAGACGTTGTTCTGGAGGCTATAGGATTAAGTAAACGTTCGCACCCAAGAAATAGTTCTATTTGTTATGGAGAATCAGTTAGAGATAGTGACATGTTCATTCATCAATCCAATATTAGTTCAGGTTCAACTGATTCATCTATTGGACCAACTACTCCTAATGAACCAACTTCAAAAAAGAAAGGAAGACTCTCTTTTATTTTCAAACAAAATGGAACAAAATCACAAAATGAACCTGTCACTTTAAGTGAAGGATCTGTTACTCCAGCAATTATGAATGACAACATTGTTCTAAAAGAAAAGGAACAAAAAAGAAGAGATGATTATTAGAGAAAGGTTAAAATTATATATGAGTAATAAAGTTTTATGAAAAGAGTTAAAATGGAGAGTAATGAATTTCAATTGTACTTGTTCTTTTTTATTTTTTTTTTTACTATTTTGATAATAAATGTTGTTTTTATTATAAAATATAATAAGAAAACTAATCTCAAAAAAATATTTCTTCATGCAAAGCAATAATCCATATGATGAAAATGATTTATTACTTGTTCAAGTAGATAATGATAAAACTCAACGAATTAAAGATGTTAACACAAAAATGAAAGAAATTAATACTGGAATTTCTATGATGAATAGTATAACAAAAACACAACAAACAGTCATTGACCAACTTGAATATAATTATCAAAATGCTGAAGAATATACAGCGAAATCAGCTATGGAAATTGACAAAGCAGGGAAATATCAATTTTCTGGAGATAAAAAGAGACTAATAATATTATTAATATTAGTTATTGTTGTTACATTCCTTATATTCATTATTTGGTATAAATTACATTAAATCTTACTCATTCATTTTTTTTTTTTAAATTTTGTTTCTTTTCTTTAAGACTTGTTACAATCTTTTTGTTGAGACATAAGTAGATTGAATCTTATTTTTTTGGAAAGTTCAAATAAAAGATAAGAATGAAAACCAAATAAAGGTAATAGTAAACAATAATACAATTTCAGCACACTTTTTTAATAAACTTCCTACTTATGAGAGTAAAGTCTCTTATTACTATTATCAAGTTAAGACTATAATTTAAACGCATCAATAATAACTATTTTTCTTGTTTAAAGTGGTTGTATTGTTTAATAACTGAAACATTATCTTGTTTGAAAACTACGTCATCTTTCAAAACAGTAGTTCGTGAAGTGTGGATAGTTAAATAAGGTTGTCTTGGTACAAGCTCATTTTCAATAACAGTTCTACTAGGGCGGTTAAGGTACATTTGTAATTTTTTTGAGTCTTGTTCTTTAAAAAGTGATCCATGATGAATTGTTGTATTAGGTGGTGAAGTAATTCTAAGTGTTGTTAAGGCAATGACTGGTGTTATTGGTGGTTGGCTATTAGACATTGTTTCTGAGGAAGTGTTCATATTCTTAGAAAAGGAGGTTTGTGTTTATTTCCTTTTTCTTTTACACGACACAAAATTTAGTATTTTTTAGTATTTTTATAGTATTTTTACTTCGTTATATATTCAGTTGGGGTTATTATTTTTTGAGTTGTAGTTTCTTTCATTAAATTATTTTCAGCCAAATTTGTTGGTTAACAGATGTTCTCTGTCTCATTATTTAAACTGAAGGTTTTGGTGTCTTTTAAAAAGTCATCTTATTGTAAAAAATAAAGTAGATCTATTTTTAGAACAATCAAAAAATCCAAGAGTTACTCAAAAAGAATGATGCATTCGATCTTTGAGAAATTAAAAAATAAGAATTAATTTAAAATAAAAAGAAAGAACAAAATAGTAATTAATAGTAAAATAATATAATAAAAAGATAAATAAAAAGGAACTAATAAAAAAACAATAAAGGAAGTATGACAGAAAGGATATGTTTACACTCACGATTTACACTTTTATCTAAATTAGGAAAAGGAACATATGGAGTTGTTTTTAAAGCAATGGATAATGTTACACAACAATGCATTGTAATAAAAAAGTATAATAGTGAAAATATGGATGGGATTGGAATTACTTCATCGGCATTAAGAGAGATATGTTTATTAAGACAATTAAATCATAGAAATATTGTAAAGTTTGTTTTAATTAAAATATAAAATGAAATAAAAAAGAATTAAAAAAGAAGAATATTAGGAGTTTGTTCAGGAAAGAATGAACTTGAATTATTTATGGAATATTGTGATTGTAATTTAAGACAAATAATAGGAGGATATCTTGGTAATGACATAATAAGAACAAAATATATATTTAAACAAATTATGGAAGGACTTTTATATATTCATGAAAATAATATTGTTCATAGAGACTTAAAACCAGAAAATATTTTATTAAAAAATGGTGTTGTAAAAATTTGTGATTTTGGAATGGCTAAATATTCATTTAAAACTTCTACACCCAACGGTATGCTTCTACAATATGCACCACCAGAAATTTTACAAGTTATGAGTTCAAATGATCAAAACAAAGAAGCTATTTATGTTCTTTCTGATAAAATAGATCCATGGTCTTGTGGTATTATTTTAATTGAAATGACTCAAAAAAGTAGTAGTAATATTCAAATTGACTGTAAAAAACTATATCGAGAATCAGAACAAATCAAATCAAATTATTTGGACCACCCAATAAGTAAATTTTTCAGTGAACAACTTTCACATATAAAAGACAAAGACCTTCTTGTTCTTATTAGTGGACTATTACGTTATAGTACTACATTACGTTGGACTTGTAAAGATGCAATAAACTGTAATTGGCTTGAAGGCATAGATACTTCAAAACCCTATAATATATATAACAATGTTAACTTTTTAAAACAGCAACTAAGTGATTGAGTATAATCCTTTTTAAATTGGTTAATTTTTATTGATGGAAATGGAGAAAACAGGTGTTACAAGAAATAGCATAGATAATATAAAAACCAATTACAAAAGAAAAAATTCACATCAATCAATGAATATAAATGATAGAAGAATCTGTGAAAATAGATATTATCTGTATAGACAGA